ATCACAGTTCTGTTACCATTACAGCAAAACATTAAATCAGTTTTAGCATATAATAAACATGTAAAATTACCCCACTTTCACTTTGTGAAAATCTCCATTGTACACAACCTGGGAGATAACTGTAATTAAATCAGACTGGAACAAAGGGTGTTCACATTTAAAAAGAGCAGCTGTGGAAGCAAGTATTTAATATCCTGATGCATGCTCAAAGTATTTAATACATTGCTGTAAATATTTGTGTGCATTTACCACACCATCTAATAAAAGTCATGTTACAGGCATAAAACTTCACTTCACCACTTGCTCTTGCTGAGATCAGACGTTTCATCCCTCCTCTCCCTCTCCGCTTTGCTTTGCTGCTCTGTCTGTCTGTGAAACTGCTTCTGAGCCTCTCTTGTATTTCTTCCGAACCATAATTATGGACTTGTTTTGATCAGTTGGTCCCTCAACATAATTGATAACATTTCTTTAAAGAAAAGACAGGCTTTAGGCGAGCCAATTTGCCCTGTTGGCATGCACGCAGCTGGATATCTCATCGACTTGGAACACTTGATGACGTATCTATCTCTGCTGCCACTTGTGGATTTTAAGGACACATATTTAATTGGATTTACAATAACTGGTTCCTGCTTTTTGGATTCGGCTGGTTGCTGGTTTTATCAACAATCAAGGAAGTCGTCTGCAGCAAATTTGGACTGGATCACGCTGCTTGCCTTTATGATGGCTTGGTTCGTGCCTCGAGTACCCAGACTCAAATGCTTTGGGCAGAATGGAACAGATCTCTGGGATTTTACTCAGGCACATTCCATCGATGTGGCCATGTAATTTGGACATTTCGGAACCGAGTGGACCAACACAGACTCAAGGCAGATGTCATTAAGTTCTGCCTGTCCCCAAAACAACTGTGTGTTTATCTGAATTTGGCTCTCCTGGCTGGCCTTGAAGGCCACCTTATCTGAATTAGCCTGGAGAACATGTGATCTGACGCCCCCCCCCCCCCCCCCAAGGAATTTCCAACTGATAACCAGAGAAAACCAGCTGAATAAGCATTGCACCATCATTTCAGGACTCTGGGATTCTCATAGACATTATTCTTGGCCATTCCTTGACATCCCTCGAGAATGTTTACGGATCTCACCAGAGGACATTGGGGGATTATTCCATCTTTATCAGAACTCTTACAGTGCCCTCGAGAGCATCTACGGACATGCTCACCGCTCTCGTCATCTCCCCCCTTTGCAGAATGTCTACATCACTATTTGTTTGTTTGTGCGAGGTGTTTTTTTAATATCAGAGTTTTTCTTCTCAGGCAAGAAGAAAAGGTCTGACAGGAATTTTTTCGCCTCCAATTCCTACGTGTCCAGTTTCACTACTTTTTGTCTGTCTAAACAGATCTCACTTGTAAATGAGTCTTCTAGGCTCAATGTGACTTCCATCCATCCATCCATTATCTTTTACCCACTTCTTCCGTTTTGGGTCACGGGGGTCGCCGGTGCCCATGTCCAGCAATCACTGTACGAAGGGCGGGGTACACCCTGGACGGGTCGCAAGTTCATCACAGGGCTCATTGTGACTTATCTGTCTAAATAAAGGTGGAATGAAAAAACTACTTCAAAACAAATATGCTGTAAGAGTTATCTGATGATTTGGCACATCAATGCACACATTTGAAGTCAGGTTTGTTGTAATTGAGCTCTGGTGGTGGTAAAATACCATGTGTGTTCTAAGTATGTGTAAAAAAATCACTTTTAACTTGCTCTAAACAAACTGTGATTTAGCTCGAGCAAGTCAAGTGTCACCTGTCTCCTAAGGGTACAAAAGGGAAACGTATTGCAGCTGTGTGCAAATCCTGTTTTCCTTTTCCAGGGATGATGATCCATCATAATGACGTTTGTTTTCTCTGCAAAACCAAATCAGAGAAGACGTTTACACAGAACTTTACGATATGTTAATTTACTTCTAAATACACAGGAGCAACACACCTGCATGATCTATGGACAATTCAATGTTTACTGTAGATCTGGTACTAATTCTGTCCTATAACTTTGTTCTGTGGTTGTTTTTTTAATGTTGTTTTCTTTTTTAATTAATTTTCGATATATTCATAAATCCATTAGGGTAAAGATGAGACACTCTCCACAAGGTCTGTGGGATACAGTTTGCATAAATGGACCATTTTGAATCCAGCTCCTGCTAAACTTTTTTACATCCAGTTTTAAAAACATACGTCATGGTAAATCTTTTCATTGGTGCAAACAGACAAACACATGTACTGTACATGCTGATTTTTCTTTAAACTCATGGTGAATTTATTGCTTGTTTTTTACTTGCAGGACATTATTTGCAGAATTATGGCTTGTCCTTCACATTATTTGGGTTTTAAGCCTGTAAATTCCCCAGAGTCAATTTATATTTTGCTGATGGCGTGATATTCAATTATTGAATATATACCGTGGGTGGGTGTTTGTGTGTTTCCATAGATTTATATATCTATATACACTGCTCACAAAATTAAAGGGAACTTTAAAATATCACATCTTAGGCCTCATTTAATTAAATATTCTCATTGACAAACTTTATTATTAGCACAGTGGAAATAATTGAGAAGAAAATAACAAAAATTATCAATGTAAATCAAAATTATTACACAATGGAGATCTGGATTTGGATTCATACTCAATATGGAAGTGAAAAATAAAATGACAGGCTGATTCAACGTCAGTGAATATTCCTCAAGACAAGTCTAAATGAGGCTCAGTAGTACAATACTCGTAAACGTTTTTACAACCCCTTTTTGATTTGTATTTGGGGACTGCCATGCAAATGGCAGGCATCTATTATTCTACACCTCAGAAGTGTGTCTACATTTCTATCTCCATTAATGTGATCTGAACCACAATGTCTACCCCACAAAATTTACATCAAAACGACCTACTCAGCCCCGTGATGTGTACTATTACTTTTATTGGCATTTCAAGTTACCATTGCGACATAATTTGCGAACAAATATGCAATATTTCACCAACTCCAGGAATTAGTTGGTGACTGCCCACTATTATTCTACACCTGACAAGCATATCTTTTTCAACTTTAATGCGGCCCAAACCGCAATGTGGCCCCCAACAAAAGTTATATCAAAATGACTAGCCCGGCTTAGGGAAGTTTGCTATTACTTTTATTGGCATTCGCAATTACCACAAGGACATATTTTGCTAATAAAGATGCCAAATTTCCCACAGGAAATGAATAGGAGAAAACTCTTCACAGAAACTGAGTAACGTATGGAGCCAATTTGGTTCAACATGCAAGGAAGGCAGTGCATTATGCAATGCATGTAAGGCACCTATTATTACTTATTATCTCCTATTATAAATTAGTAATAATAATAATTAACATTAATTATTTATTGTCGATGTTAATAATGATAAATATTAATAATTATTAATATTAATCATTAATAGTAATGGTTAGTATGAATATATTGATATTAATGATTAATCATTAATAATATTTTGATACCAATAAATTAATTATCAATATATTATAATTATCAGTATTAACAATTGATCATTAGTATTAATTATTATTAATAATTATTTTTTATGTTAATATATATTATTATTATTAATAATCTAATAATAAATAGGTAGTCCCCGTCAAAGTTTCCGGGAACTTTGTAGTTTACTTTTACTTCTCTGTCAGCATATACTTTTAAATTTTAATAAACTTTTTAACATTTGATTTTAATGCATCCTTGAATTTTTCACAAATCCTAAGCGAAGTCAAAACAAGCTTTAGGGTCGTGGATTTTATTTCTGAATGCCATTAAATCTGTGTAAATATGACAATATCAATCAACCTTTATTTATACAGGTAAATCCCATTGAGCCTCGAGGACTCATTTACAAGAGAGACCTGATTTCAACAAAGAAAGATGACAACAATGGACAACAGCAACAACAATAAACAGTTATAAAAAAGCATACTACAGTTTTTTTGTTTTGTTTTGTTTTTTTAACAAATAGGATGGCTAAAAGGAAAAGGTAACAAAACAAAAAACAGCTAGATTCTAAGGCGAATGTAGAAAACTAAAAACAGGAACATGTCAGCATTGGACCCTGCCAGGTGTCCAACAGATTCTTAAAGACACTTAGAGAGGTCAAGGTCGAGAGCTTCAAATCTTTTTGTAAGATATTCCAGGAAACAGGAGCGGAGTAGGACAAGGCCCTTTTGCCTAGTTCAGTCCTCATTGAGGGAACACTGCAGGTAATAATGGCCTGAGAGCGCACGCTGTAGCTGCACTCACGCAGAGACATGTAGGAGGAGATGTATGAAGGCAACAGACCAAGAAGTGATTTAAAGATGAAAATATACCAGTGAGAGAGTCTGCGTGAAGTTAATGATGTCCAGTTAACCAGTATGACTTTGTATGACTAATATGACTTTGTTAGTCAAATAACTAGACAATAACCCATTTATAAATGGGGAAAATATCTAAACTTAGTTAAAAAAGTTAAAAAAATAAAGTTTGGTTGATTTCTTACTGTTTTGTAATAATAAATTGTATACAGTTGCAAAGCGTGTTTATGGGTTTTATATTTATTTATTTAGTTATGCCAAGAAGCTTTTTTACAACAGACAAATATTCAAACAAACACATTTCCTGACTTTTCAGGTTTTGTTTATATTTGTTCAGTTTTCTGTGGTTAAGCAATTTAAACCTGATAGGAACCTAACGGACATCAATAAATGTTCCTTCGACAATTATAAATGGATCATTTCATTAATGAGGGTGTTCTCTGAAGCCCAAACCATAATTCTACCTCCAAACAATGGAAGTTTAAAGCTTCCGTTTAGTTTAGCTGTATATAAACATTATTTCAAAATAAAATTAAATTTACCCACAAATATTTTTAACAATATTACAGTTCATATCTTTACCACGTTGCAGTAACACTTTTATGTTCATCCAATCTTGGTTTTCTTTTGTCCCATTTCAGCTCACTCCACTCCAGGTTTGACGAAGACGCCTCTGTCGGCTTTGGGGTTAAAGCCTCATCAGCAGGTCGGATCTGGTCAGTACCATCAAATTAATTTAGTGACAGTGGAAGACACGTGGAATAAAATATACAATGAAACAATCTTCAACAATGCATTTTTATTTCATTGTTTGCTGTGATGCAGATATGAAAACTATGAATTGTGAATGAATAGAAGTAAAAAGTGATTAATTACTGGCTATGAAATAAAACTAGAAAGTTCCTGGAGAAACTCTGACGAGGACTGTCACATTGTGGCCATTTTAAAAATGTATTTTGACAGCACTTTGTGTTGGGGTTCACTCTCAGCTACCACCATACCAAATTTCAGCTCAATGTGGCAAAAAAAAATCAGTGACTTATAGTATTTTTTTTTTAGCTATGGTGGCCATCTTGGAGTTTTGATTTGGATTCAGTATGTGATGGGGAACGTTCTCAGCTATAACCTCACCAAATTCCAGTTCTGTATGTGTAAACATAGCTGAGTTAAAGCCATTTTAATGTAGCTTTGGTGGCCATATTGAATTTTTTATTTGAATTTAGTATTTATGGAGCATTACTTTTAGCTACGATACCAAATTTATGCACAGCATCTCTAAAAATGGCTGATTTGTAGTTTGTTAAAATGAAAAAATTGTGTCTTTATTTGGGAATTACATCGCCATGGTAACTTGAAACGCCAATAAAAGTATCAACGTTCATGCTCAATAATCCAGATAAAAAAATCCAACAAAGTTCAGTCAGGTCTGGACGGTTTCTTTTTTTGTTGAGACGTTTTGTCCTATCATCTTATCACCACCAAACAGGTTGGTCCACTATGCTGCTTGTGGAACTGAGTTTGTTGTGACTCCTTGTACTGATGAAGTCCTTTGGATGAAGGACGAAACGTCTCAACATAAAAGAAACTGTCCAAATGACTGAACTTTGTTGGATTTTCTACTTGGATTAATGAGCATGGACTTTGATGTTTTGAACCACTTTGACCATGGCTGCCTCAGAGGAGTTGATGGTAGAGAGAGCAGGCCCCAGAAACCATCTTATCACAATCAAACTGATTGGTCTACTATAAGAATGTGCTTGTGGGACTCAGTTTGTTGTGGCTCCTCGGACTGATGAAAACGTTTGGATAAAGGACGAAACATCTCAACAAAAAAAGAAACCGTCCATATGACCTGATTTGTTGGCCAATAAATGTAATAGCACACATCACGGTGTCATTTTTTTTTCATTCACTCAACCTTTATTTAGACAGATAAGTCACATTGAGCCTAGAAGACTCATTTACAAGTGAGATCTGTTTAGACAGACAAAAAGTAGGGAAACTGGACACACGGAGGAATTGGAGGCGAAAAAATTCCTATCAGCCTCTTTCTTATTGGCTGAGAAGAAAAACTAATATTAAAAAACACATCGCACAAACAAGCACATAGTGACATAGACATTCTGCAGAGGGGGTGAGACGATGAGAGTGGTGAGCATTGTCCATGGACGCTCTCGAGGGATGTCGGGGAATGGCTAAGGACAACCCCTGTGGGAATCCAAGAGTCCTGAAATGATGACACAATGTTTATTCAGCTGGTTTCCTCTTGTTGATCAGTTGGAAATTCCTCAGGGAGGGAGTGTTGAGCATCAGATCACATGTTCTCCAGGTAAATTCATATAAGGTGGCCTTCAAGCCAGCCAGGGGAACCGAATTCAGATAAACATACAGTTGTTTTGGGAACAGGCAGAACTTAATGACACCAACCTTGAGTCTGTGTTGGTCCAAACGGTTCCGACATGTCCAAATTACATGGCCACACCGATGGAACGTGACTGAGTAAAATCCCAGAGATCTGTTCCATTCTGCCCAAAGCATTGAGTCTGGGTACTCGAGGCACGAACCAAGCCATCATAAAGGCAATCAACGTGATCATGTTCAAAATTTGCTGCCAACGACTTCCTTGTTTGTAGATAAAACCAGCAACTAGCCGAATCCAAAAAGCAGGAACCAGTTATCAAAAATCCAATTAAATATGCGTCCTTAAAATCCACAGATGGCAGCAGAGATAGACACATCATCAAGTCGATGAGATATCCAGCTGCGTGCATGCCAACAGGGCAAATCGTCTCGCCTAAAGCCTGTCTTCTCTTCAAAGAAGTGTTGTAAATTGTGTTGAGGGATCAACTGATCAAAACAAGTCCATAATTATGGTTCGGAAGATATGCAAGAGGCTCAGAAGCAGTTTCACAGACAGGCAGAGCAGCAAAGCAAAGCAGAGAGGGAGAGGAGGGGCAAAGCGTCCAACCTCGATATCCTTGATTTAACATTTGTGGGGGTACACATTGTGGTTCAAGCCACATTAAAGTTGATAGAAGAGCTAGACCCTTTTCAGGTGGATAATAATAGGTTGCTGCCTTTCCAGGCTGTCCCCATTAAAAGCAGAAAATCTGGGACTTGTTTTCTTCCTGTCCAAGACCTGCCTACTTCTTTAAAAATAGGAGTCTCTACTTTCTTCATGGTATTCTTCTGCGTAATTTCTTTGAACTGTTTTCCCCTTGTCTTTTTTTCTTCCGTACATCTTCTTTCCTCTTTCGCTTATGTTTTTTTCTTTATTTTTGTTAGGGACGGCCTAGTAAGGCAGCCTCCTATTATTATCCACCCGAAAAGGGTCTGGCTCTTCCTTCAACTTTAATGCGACCCAAACCACAACGTGTACCCCCACAAATGTTATATCAAAACGACTGGCCTGGCACCGTGATGTGTGCTATTACTTTTACTAGCATTTCAAGTAACCGTGGCAAGGTAATTTGCAAACAAATACGCCATTTTTCTAATTGGAAAACACTGACAGAACTCTGAACAGCTTCTAACGCCCACAGTGAGGTCACATGACCTGGAGGGGAAAGGTTTCTGAAGAAAACTCACTTTGTCATCAATCAAATTCTTTCTACCAACACATCTTTTAAGACACATATATATATTGTATATCAAAACATATGCATTTTTGTCATCTTCTCACCAGTGTTTCTGGTGTGGCTGTAGGAGTTATGGTTAAATCAGCCATTTTTAGAGATAGTAAGATGAAAATTGGTGTGGTGGTAGCTGACAGCAATGCCCCATAAATACTGAAATGTAATAAAAATCCAAGATGGTCAGCAATGTAAAATTTAAATGGCTTTAACTGAGCTATTCTTACACATATAGAGCTGAATTTGGTGTGGTTATATTAGAGAATGTTCCCTATCACATACTGAATCCAAATCACAAATCCAAGATGGCCACCATAGTTTAAACGAAAATATGACTGAAACTCAGATTATTATTTTTATTTATTTTATTTTTTGCCATATTGAGCTGAAATTTAGTATGGTGGTAGCTGTGAATGAACCCCAACACATAGTAATGTAACAACAACATTTTAAAATGGCCGCCACATGGCAGTCTCACACAAAGTCTCGCCAGGAACTTTCTAATTATATTTAGAATCACCATCAAGCCTTCGTTTGATTGTGTGTATGTGTGTTGGTTTCTTTGTGTTGGTTCTGCAGATAATCACAGTGTTGGGAACGTAAGGGCACAGTCATCCAATGCTCCTCTTTCCTCCTACAGTCCCATTCACAGCACGGATGGGTGAGTGGTTTAATTTCACTAATATTCTATTTATGAAGTGTCATTTCACACCAGACATCCTCTCAGAGCACTATACAAAAGAATAAACCTGTTCCAAATCATAAATCCTATTCATATCCATATGTATTCCTTATTGTAATGCAAGACAATCACTAACAGTACATTGTGAAATGCAAATTAGTAAAAGGCTTCTATGTGAAACCTGGCAAACTGTGTCCAATCTTCAGAAAAGGATATTTACTTGATCATGTTTTTTTTATTAAGTTGTTGTGCAATTACATTAAAAAAAGAAGAAGAAAATTTTCAGTTTGTTTCAGTCTCTGTTTCAGTGTCCTAATAAATTTACATACAACAGAAATTAGACAAAAAAACAATTTGCATCTTGGAAAAGTTTATATTTACAAATGTCTTCACCAATAACAATAGAGTTTATAATTTAATTTGTAAATCAGTAACGAAGTACAGTAATGATATGCATTAAGAAAAAATAAGAAACATTTTTTCCCATATTAAACTTTGCTTATATTTTGTATCAGCAAAGTGTTTATTTTTTAGGATCACTATAAGGTAGATCTTCTTTTTGCACCCTTTTACTTGCTACAGTTGAACATTTTGAACACTGTCATTTTTGCTTCACCTCTGTCTGTTAAATGAGCATCTAATCCTAAAAGGATCTCTGACATTGGAACTGTAATGGTCAGTGGCCCCCTGCTGACCATTACAGGAACAACAGACCTTAGTTGATAAACAATTACTTCAGATATAAAAACAAGGAAACTGAAAAATACTTAATAATTTTCAATAGCTAATGACACACAAACATCGGCATTTTGTTTATGCTGCAGTGCATTCTGGGTAAATTATGTAGACAGATTGCTTTAGTGTGAATAGCATTCAGCTTGAAGGTTCATTTTGGACATTATTGACAGTCTGACACAGGCGTTGCACCAATTACTGTATACGTGAAGGGGAGGTGTGTCCCTCAAATTTAGAAAAATCGCTAGCTCAGTGCTATGGTATTGCAATTGGGTGTGGGGGGTGGGGGTGGGGGGGTAGGATGTGTGAAAGAGAAGCAGAGTAGCTATTCACAAAATGGAGAGCTGTTGGTCAGGCTACTAGTTATACCATACTTTTGTTATTAAATCAAGTGTTTACATATATAGGTAAACAGATGTTTAATAGCCCGTTAAAATACACCAGAATGCAGGAAATGGCATATACATTATTCAATATTTTATGGGGAAGACCCCCAGACCCCACAACACCAATTTAGTCAGTGCTTTAATCTGAACCAAAGTTCACTGACAGAAGAGGGGCACAAAGAAATGACTCAGCTTTTGTGTTATCTCTAAAGCTAATAAACATCAAATTGATCACATATGATCATCCATCCAGCCATCCGTCTTCTCCCGGTGGGACATGCCTGGAACACCTCACCAGGGAGGCATCCAGGAGACATCCTAACCAGATTCCCGAGCCACCTCAACTGGCTCCTCTCGATATGGAAAAGCAGTGGCTCTATTCTGAGTCCCTCCCAGATGCCAAAGCTTCTCACCCTATCTCTAAGGGAGAGCCCAGACACCCTGCGGAGAAAACTCTTTTCGACCGCCTGTATTCGTGATCTCGTTCTTTCGGTCACAACCCAAAGCTCATGACCATAGATGAGGGTAGGAACGTAGATAGACTGATAAATTGAGAGCTTCGCCTTTTAACTCAGCTCTCTCTTCACCACGACAGACTGGTACAGCGCCCGCTTCACTGCCGACGCTGCACCTATCCGCCTATCGATCTCACGTTCCATTTTTCCCTCATTCGTGAACAAGATTCCAAGATACTTAAACTCCTCCACTTGGGGCAGGGCCTCCTCCCCAACCCAAAGAGGGCACTCTACCTTTTTCAGGCTTGAGACCATGGCCTCGGATTTGGAGGAACTGATCCTCATCCCGGCCGCGTCACACTCGGCTGTGAACCGCTCAAGCGAAAGCTGTACATCACGACCTGATGAAGCCAATAGGACCACATCATTTGCAAAAAACAGAGAAACAATCCTAAGGCCACCAAAACAGATCCCCTCAACACCTTGGCTGCACGTAGAAATTTTGTCCATAAAAGTTATGAACAGAATCGGTGACAAAGGGCAACCTTGGTGGAGTCCAACTCTCACTGGGAACGAACCCGACTGCCGGCAATGCGGACCAAGCTCTGACACCGATCGTACAGGGACCTAACAGTTCATATCAAAGGGTCTGGTACCCCATACTCCCGGAGTACCTCCCACAGGGCTCCCCAAGGGATGCAGTTGAACGCATTCTCCAAGTGCACAAAGCACATGTAGACTAGTTGGGCAAACTCCCACGCACTCTCCAGGACCATGTTGAGGGTGTAGAGCTGGTCCAGTGTTCCACGACCAGGATGAAAACTGCACTGCTCCTCCTGAATCTGAGGTTCGACTATCCGATGGACCCTCCTCTCCAGAACTCTCAAATAGACCTTACCAGGAGTCTTAAGAACATGATCCCCCTGTAGTTGGAACACACTCTACGGTCCCCCTTTTTGAATATGGGGACCACCACACCAGTCTGCCAATCCAGGGGAATTGCCCCGATGTCCACGCAATATTGCAGAATCATGTAAGCCGACACAACCCCACACCCTTTCTTGACCAAGTTCAGTTGAGCATGATAAAACCTTTAGTTATCTCCTTTAAGAAACTTCTTATATGTAGAGTGTTGTGGCAACAACAAAACATCCTTTTCTGTGAAGAAAATAAGTGTGTCTTGTAGTCATCTGTTATACAAACAATATAAGGTGAGACCTTGTCCCCACCAGTGTTAGTCAAGCATTGTTAGATTAGAGTCATTGTCTTAAGATTCTCAATAAGTGATACTTTTAAAAAAATATTGTGCATATTATCTGTATTTTATTTACTCAATATGATGAAGAAAATCAGAAAATCTGTTGTGTATATTTATTTTTGTGCGCTCAGAAGGAGAACTAGTTCTTCAGATGGTGCCCCGCACAGAACTGCCTCCCCAGAGGGCTCCCAGGTCGACATCATGGGTGTCCACACCATCCCCGGCAGTCCGAACACCCTCCATCGCACTGTGGCCACCAACACGCCACCTAGCCCCGCCCTCCAGAGACGCTTAGGACAAGGCAGCCCCTCTCTGGCCAGACACCCGCTTCCAACCAGCGTCCCCTCAAGTCCTCTAATAGGTCGAAACTCTAAAATGGCAGTGGCCGGCATCCCGCCAAGCCCGCTGATGGGTCGCCGCACAACATCTAGCGGACGCAGCACGCCCGACGAGCTGGGCGCTGCAAGTCGTCAGGGGAGCGTCCAACCGCCTCCCACGCCTGCCTTCCCCGTGTCCCCACAGCTTCCAGAGAAGAGACATATGTCCAGTGGAGATGCAGAAAGGACAGACAACAAGAACCTGACTCCTGCCAGTGGTGGCAGTACGCCAAACCTGTCTGGCACGCATCCTCTCCCAGACGTTTCCAAGTCTATATATGGTGAGGCGCAGAAGACGTTTCTCTTTAAGTCGTCTCACAGCTGGTTTATGTCCTAAACAGTAAGTATTTTTCTTGTTTATTTTGTTCTAAACAGATGGTTATCCAGACATTAAGATGAATGTGAAGTTTGTCCAGGATACGTCCAAGTTCTGGTACAAGCCAGATATCTCGAGAGAGCAAGGTGAGAGTTCAAACTTTGAAGATATTTAGATAGTAAACACAGCCACTGAGTGCATATTCTTGTTACTTCTTCTTTGTTTTTTCTTCCTGCTTCCTTCTTTCAGCCATCAATCTGTTGAAGGACAGGGAGCCTGGTGCGTTCATCATCAGGGACAGCCATTCTTTCCGCGGGGCCTACGGTCTGGCTATGAAAGTGGCCTGCCCTCCACCAACCATCCAGCAGAACAAAAAAGGTAAACTTCATGGCCATTTCAGTTGGAAGTTTATCTGAGTAAGTTCTTACATTGCCCTGTTTTATTTTTATAATTTCTTGGCTAGTTGGTGACATAACAAACGAGCTGGTAAGGCACTTCCTGATTGAGACGAGCTCTAAAGGCGTCCGTTTGAAGGGTTGTCCCAATGAGCCCTACTTTGGTGGGTTTGTTATTTCTGTGACGTGCAAACTGTTGAGCCCATAATTTGGTAGACTATCCCAGATTAATCAAATGAGTGCTTGATGTTTGCAGGCTGTCTCTCAGCTCTGGTCTACCAACACTCGATGACTCCACTGGCTCTTCCCTGCAAGCTGATGATCCCCACCAAAGGTCAGCTCGTCCCTCTGCTGCACGTTTCTCAAAGTTATTCTGCTTTTCCTGTGAATTCAATTTAAAATGCACTCTAAAACGTGTTTACAAACAGGGAACCAAAAAATATTGGGTATTAATTCCAAAACTAAAATCTGTTGGGGGGGTCTTCGTTTTGTTCCAAAGAAATATAACATTTTCAGAATATTTAGTTTGGTTTTAGGTCTTCAATTGGGTTTCAGACAAAATATCTTAGTGGGGGTTTGTTTGTCAGTAAAATATAGAAGTAGATTGATATGTACTGTAGTTTTTTAATGGCCAATTCTGATGCTGATTTTTTCTCAAAATTCAGGGCTTCTGATGGTCAACTTTTAAAGCCAGTTTGGTTTTGCCTCCAAAAATGAACACTTTAATAATTATAAATAGTATTATGTGATAGATTTTGACAACAAAACCCTTCCAGTTATTTATATGGGCCAATACTTATTACTTACCTATATTACAGTTTATAGAAGGTTCCCAATGCCTATAATTCAAATATTTCACATCAAACCACTTAAATACATAAAACCCTAAAATATGAATAAGGCTTAAAATTTCCGAAAGACAATCAACAACTTTCTTTTAAAACTTAGCATATTTTGGTCAACTGCCTTTAAGTTTTGCTGGTGTCTTAAAGGTATCTCTGGACTACTTCGGACAATAAAAGGTATATTTCGTATTAGTCCATATGCACAATATGTGGGTCAAAATGATCAAATATGATCAACTTTTAATCTTTATTAGCTTTGGAGCTAACATCATATATACATACAGTAGTCCCTCACTTATCTCGTGGATTACGTTCCTGACACCCCCATGATTGGTGAAAATCTGCCAAGTAGGGACATTATATATATATATATATATATATATATATATATATA